TCTTCACTCGGTGTAGTATATTATCGAAGAACGAAGTATTTTGGGTGAAAGTCGTATCCATTTTGTTGGTAATTTTATTGATAAGGTTGAGTGAATCCGGGCGAAGTGCCGGCTGTTCATTCCAACAGTTCTGTATCTGTAGGGTATGCATTGATATCATACTGAGTTGCTTCGTTGGATGGTCAGCTGTTGGGCGCAGATACGGAGAATTCCCGTTTCGGATCGCGTCGATTACTTTTGAGCTAATGCAAGAAAACGTACTCCCGAATAATGATTATTTTTAATTGTTGAATGAACCTTGATTAAGGTTGAACTTTTACTCTTTTAATGGGCAACAGCCAATCCACATATCGCTATGCTTCCGCAGGTTTACACTAATTAAAATAATTAAATTTTAAACATTGAAAAAACACCCGTAATCATTATTGTCATTCAAAATCTTATGATGTGCACTCAAGGTACCCAAAACAGCTGCTGCGTTTCCTCTTACTACAGCCAAACTTAATCGCTATCTTAAAAGGCCGTGGATCTAGGCTCTCCTGTAGCGTCGCGGATCTTCCGGCCAACAAAACGAATCAGTTCCGCAAACGATGTTCCAAAAGTTCCGAACGTCTCGACCGCCAGAGCGTAGAAAAAATAGCCCAAACCCTCGACGAAAGCGTACTTCCGCCGCTTGAAATTTTCCGCCAGTTGTGCGACACTCCCGGCTTTCAGGGAGCTAGCATGCACATGCGACACGGCCACAGTATCCCAACAAGTTGCATCCCATACCACGGCCTTTCCTTCGCGCACAGGAATCAAAGTCATCCCATCCGGCCGCTTGCCGTCCTTGTCAGACAATCCAGCCGGTTCGCTTTGGCAGGGATAGCCGGCGAGCTCCAAGCCGCGTTTCGTCTCATTGTTCAGTTCAACATGTCGCGACCGTCTGCCTTTGCTGCTAGGACAAGACAAACCGTGGTGGCCGTTTGTTTCCAATCGGCTTCCACAGTTTACGCAGTTATGTTCCTCCACAACGGGCAGCCCAAATTGGAGAGCAACACCAACTCTGACTTCTTCGTCTCGCAAGAATGTATGTAGAGCAGGTGCTGGAAGGGCATTTAACAAGGCGCCAGAGTCACGTTGGAGAGCGGCCAGCAGCACTGCCTTGTCCGTTTCATTTACAGCAGCCGCTTTCAGGGATGACACGACACAGTCTATCGAAGGTCGATCCCAGGCCCACTGAAATTTCCTGCTTTCATCGGATGGTGGTTTGCAATTTGACCATTTGGACCATTCTTCTACAACGGAATCCAGTAACGCCACCGTCGCAGGCTGGTAGATTTCGGAAACCAGCGAAACCACCGAAAATGCCGACACCAGAAAGGCGGGAAAAACTAGCGCTTTAGTGGTTCGCAGTCCAAGTCCACCGTTAATGTTGAATGATTAAACAGAAGAGAAATGGTTTTTGGCTAGAGTACTAATACGCGTTTATTTATATCGAACTTTATAAAATCCTTATTTTACCGTTATTTTCTAGGTTTCCAGATGCTGGTCGGGAATTTTCGTAGAGACAGCGCAGCGTGGAGATCTCGTACAAAATAATGCCGATGCTGTAGATGTCCGTCACCTTGTTTGGACTATGGTTAGAGTCTCGTACTCGTAATAACTCGGGCGCAGTCCAGAGCAGCTTCACTGGGTTATCATGCAGCACCAATGCTGTATGGCCGCAGAGTTTATATGACAATGCTTGGAAACCAAACTTGGCAATTTCCAGAGTAAAGTGCCGGTCAATAAGGCACCCGTCGCGTTAACTGGCCGTGGTAAAGGAGAGATGTTTTGGTATGGATGAAATGTATCGCCTACGTACGTTTTGATTTAACGACCGCCTATTTCGTAGAAGGATGCAGTAACAGAGAAAGATAAATGCTAAAGTTTTTAACCGTTACTAACTCGAATAAGATCCACAGCCAACGAATGTTGTAGGTCCATGTCCAAACGGTTTTGTAAATCGAAAAGGTCATGGAGAGAGCCCAGGTCACAGAAAGGCGCAACAAACAGTAATTGCGTTTTGCTAAGTGCTAAGCTTAATCCGAGGAGAACATTGACGTTGTCTGAGCTAATAATATGTCGGAGCTGGAAAACATTTAAAGAAACCCAAAAACTGTATGCAATGTTGGCAAGAATGTTCTCTGCTCACCTCATGAACCAGTCGAGCCGTAGATCTGGAAGGTGTGGTAAAAGTCTCCATGACAGCATTATCGAGCAGTGGCATGGGACAAATTCAGACAGATGCTGTACTGGTAGATATACTGCCGAGTACTAAAGAATTATCAGACTTATGACTAACCAGTTTCGTGTTCGTAATACATATTAGAAAGCTTTCAGTTTGTGTTCAGTTCCTACCTCACAGTACTTTGTACATAAACCAAACATTTTCTGTTATTCGCTTACACTCTGTTCTGTTGGTGATTCTGTTGATCGAAGACCAGCTGGACGCACTAAATGGTTATAATCAAGAATCCAGGAAAATTCTTCCGAGTCTGACTGCAATCGTTGCCTGCAAAATAATTCTTGGTCAAAATTGTTGATTTTTAATATCCACCGTGACACAAACACCATACGTTTAGTGGGATTTGGAATACGCACCGAAAAATGCGATAAGCCACGGTAACCATGATGGCGCTGCACACAACCACCAAAACACCCACGGCTATGCCGATAGTTTCTCTTAACCCATCTGCAAATTAGCGCCGAATGCATTCACTGAACCAGCCATAACCAAGTGCAAAGGTGTTCCACAAACAACTTGAAAGCTAGTAAAGGTCAAAGACTAAGCCACCTTTGGCAGCGCATGGTCCTTTGCTCCCTAAATATCCGCAGATCGGCTCGTTTCGCGGAGGCCTGTTGTTGGCATTACTGCCCAGTAAATTGTGCCGTGTACTTGAATTTCATTGCTACCATACTTCCCAAACATTACTGTGTGAAATGCAGAACAAAAAGATTTATGACAATAATTGCCGCAGCTGCATATTATGCCAGTCGTAAGCATGCTCAGGCGTCCGGAAGCGTTCAGTCTACCTACATCCATATGATTTGTTATGGGATTCAGTGATTTTACCGCAAACGCAATACGTCGCTGACCAAATTCGTCGAAAGCGATTTTTAGAAACCTTGTGTTGAGCAACGATTAAAGAACAGTGAAGCAAACGCTTTTCCATCGCTGTAGTTAAAGCCAGTTTGCTCAAGAAGGGATTCGTTTAACATTTGGAAGAGCAGCTCCACAGAGCTGTATGACGCGGCCACATGTTGCACCGGCTGTACTCAAAACACGAAAATGACGACTGATTAGGAATTCGAAATAATTACTTTAACAACCAATATAAAAACATTTTGACGAACTGTCTCATTCCAAAATCCAACCAATTGTGCAGTTATACTGGATTTTTGCCGTTTCTTTCCAATTATGTCGCAGTGCGTTCGATGGATTACGAATTGTAGCGTCCAAAATTTCCACCACCAGTAGATTTTGGTAAGCTTGTTTGGCGATGTCGTCACTGGCATCACCGTACTCCCATGTGCAGTTACCAAACGGTTCGTACGGAAACGCTTGTCCCATCGCCACATATACCTTCGGGTGAAACAGACCAGATAGTCAGCCAAGTTTGGAAGCCGAGAAGTGACAAAATGCGGAGCTTACGTATTCTGCTGAGGTCAAGCCAGCTTTATAGGCGCTTATCTAAAGTGGAACACCAGAATTACTGAAAAGGATGCCTTCCCTTAAAGAAATTATTTAGCAGAGACAGTGAACTTCATGCTTAGCTCACCATGAAGTTTCGCAGTTGTTCGTGTCCGAAGAACACCATTGCTGCACAAAGAAAATGTACTTGTATAGATTTGCCGAAAACTTATACACGTATTCAACGCAGTGAAATATGGTAAATACGGGTCCGTACGGATTGTGTAAGGGGATCTAGGGGATCTTATTGCGCTGTAATGCGGTAACGCAATAAATTACCTCGACAGCACTTCCTGAACTCCTCCAGAATACCATCATAGCTCGATGCATTGAATTCGCGCACGGTTCTCCGAATGATTTGAGCATTACGATGTCACGGTTCTAATTTCGGTTTAATTTACCGTTTAAACAACAACAAAAGCTCTCAGCTTCTGTGTTCATAAATCAGCCATGAAAGTAGAAAATATTGGCGTAGTTAAAATAAGCAAACTAGCAAAGTAACGCTCTGAAAGATTTCAAAGGAACTTACTTCTGATCCACCGACGATCTTGTTGATAAAACTTTGCACGTTATTGCGTTGACCAGTAGCGACCTTTCCGCAAGTGTCTACAATAATTAATAAATCAAGCAACACTATCCTTTACTATTAAGTATGTGCAAAAAACAGTTGGTGGTTATTTGTAGTATTCGCCAGATTATATCTGAATACGAAAAATCCATGTTAATTACACATCGCTTGCGCACCCGCTCTTGAACCGCCTGGGAAACCGGAAGGCGCACCCAGCGCTCCAGCGGCACTAATCAACAATAGTCCCGCTGTGGTACGCATGTTAGTTTCTAAAATGATCGACGGTGATTCCAGAATTATATTTGTGTACAAGAATGCCTGATGCTCACAGCAACTGCTACAGGAAAACGATGTACAAAACGAAACGGCAAACGTGAATCAAAAACAGGAGACAATAAGCACGCGATAGTGTTATCAGCATCACTTGAACGTGAAACACGGCTAACAATCCTTTACTGTGGTATTGTTGCGCGGTTATCATTTCTAACTGCGTATGCAGTACTGTATAATTATATATAAAGTTTACGTTTTGGTTGTTTACAGCAGCAGACACCCTAATCAGCGTCGATTCAGCGATTATACTTTAAACAATAGTAGTGACAAGAGCGGAGTTCAAGACCATGGACAATACCGAGTACATCGTACAACGGAAATTGTGCGTGGCATATTGATGTCGGAAAATGTACACGCATTATTAATTACTTCATTGATCATTCTACCGAGTCACTGTGGCGCGACTTCTAATGGTAGAATTACAAGTGGATATGTTTTATACTTTAAGTAACTGCATTTCCTTTATTTGAAGCGATGAAGGTTTCGATCTCAACAATATCCAGAGCAACAGTTTAAAAAAATGCTTACTGGAGGTAACGTGTCAGAAGCGCGTTATGATCCGTTGCACGGTACAAACTTAACCTGTTTAATGTCTGCAGTACATGCAACAGGTGTATTGTATTGGTGTACTTAACTTAATTTGATCTGCGTTGCTTTTGAATGATTTTGGGAAACTTTGTTGCTAACAAAATACCCCGGTTTAATAATACGCGAAAAATAATTCTGCTTGTAACGTCGATGCCAGACGAAGTGATCGGTCGGTCGTGGTTGTCCAGAATTTGCAACATATGGGCGCGCATGAGCAGAAGACAAGCTAGATACCTCAACAAAACAAATTCATAACATCTTCCATTCATGGAATCTCTTTTAAGGCTCTTATCCAAAGTCCATGTGGTGTTGATTAGAAGGAAGCGATAAAAAGGACGCATACAGCTGCTGTAAGCAGTCGTCAGTCGCTACCTTTTAGGCTTTTACCGGTTGTAAAAGTCCGGTATTTTTCGGAATTTCCAGCTAAACTATAAAATATGTTGCGCGAGATAGCGTGAATACGCGTCGAACATCCGTCTGAGTATACTCTATGTATAAAATGCCGGTAAATTATTCAGCTGAGTTCCGCTAAGAAATTTCATAAGGCTTGTACGGAATTAACGCAACATGGCACACTCACCCCGGTTCTCTGCACGCAGCTTGCTAGAAGCGGTAGCGATATGTTTTGCTTTTATTTTATTGACCGAAAGCGTCCATGGCAAGACACTAACCTTTTCCGGTAGAGAATGGTCGGTGCGCACTGCGCAGCACCAGTCCGGAACGGAACCAGTCCGGGACCGAACAACTGGGACGAGAACAACGCCTTCCTGGACGACCAAGGTCGCCTCCATCTGAAAATTACCCAGCACAATGGGCGGTGGTATTGTGCGGAAGTAGCCACTATCCAGCGACTGGGCTTCGGCCGCTACCAGTTCCAGATGGAAGGCCCTATCGATCGGCTGGATCAGAACATTGTGCTGGGCCTGTTCAACTACCCGCCGCCCGATGTCGGTCCGATCGGACCAATGAGATCGACATTGAATACGCCAAATGGGGCTTTGTCAACGGGAAACCGGCTAGTTTTACGGTGTATCCATCCGTGGCCGGTCGGCCGCAGACGTCTTATCAGTTTGATCTGGCGTTGTCGGGAACATATACGACACAGTCGTTCGCGTGGCGGAGTAACAATATTTTGTTCAGCGGGCAGCACGGGTACCAAAATAACAACCGGTTGGACGAATATGCCAGTTGGACGTTTGCACCGGCCAATGCGGTGGATGTACCGCAGAGTCCCATGCCGGCGATGATCAATCTGTGGTTATTCAATGGCTTGGCACCCAGTAACGGACAGGAAGTGGAAATTGTCATCCACTCCTTCCAGTTCACTCCCTATTAGTTTACAGTACAGATATCTTGGCAGCGGAAGCACCTTTTAGTGAGCAATTTGTATGTACTATACAATATTCGGCAAATTTTCAGACACGCTTAGACTGTTACTACAATAAAGGTGGGTCGATCTTGTGGCAACAAGAACCGTGATCGCTAAGTGCACTTATTTGCTGGTTTAACTGGTAATTATTGTCAAATAAATTGCAAGATTATGGCTCCTTGTAAATTAGTGCGTGTATCAATCAGCGCTAATTACCGATTAAAAAGCGTGAATACCTAGTCTGCAAAGTCTTCTTTCAGTACATTACCCGTATATGTCGCTAAATCTTGTTGAAAGCAAAACACTTTCTGTATTCATTACAAGGCGCAATTCTAAAGTTTGATGTTAACATTATTTCGTTTATTGTACTCCAGCCCGGAATGATTTACATACGCTGATACGCATTAAAAATTAATGATGTGTAATTTTGCGCAAGTACTGTAATTTCGCCAACGGGTGTTCAAGCAGGGCCAATGTCAAAACGCCGGCAGAATTTCCTGCCGACCGAATTTTTGTGTGGTCAAAACGCCGACCGAATTTCCTGCCGGCAGAATTTACTGTGGTCAAAACGCCGGCCGAATTTCCGGGGTTCAAAACGCCGGCAGAATTCTTTCAACATTTTCAACTTTAAAAAAAATACTAAAAAAGATTACCTGTTTCGAGGTGTGCTTGTCACGCGGTGTATAACAAAGATTTGGGCACTCTATACTTTACAGATAATAACACAGTAGCTTTATCGGCACGATTTTAGTGTTGCTATTACAGCGTGCATAAAAACTCGCGGAAGAGAATGCAGGAGCCGCGCAAAAGAGGCAAACAAGGTGTTTCAAATAGGTTGAAACCAATTTAAAGCGATCCATGCAAAAGTAAAGGGTTAACATTATGCAAAATTAGTTGGTGTACTTTAGTAATTTAATACTTATTTAGAGCAATATTATAACGTTATGACTGTAGTACAGAGTACAGAGATGTAGCGATAATAGCCTCCGCGATGTTCGTTTCCTGACGGCGGAAAAGAGATTTCGTTTCAGAAATAACTTCCATTAAACTGCTTTGCGGAAATAGAAATTCCTTCACGAGAGTCAGATGTGCCAGTCGCCAGTAATTTCTTTATTTTTCAACAATATAAGTAATGCTCAGGTCATCCGACGATACGTGCAGCGCTATCAATGCATCCAGCTACGATGGCATTTTGGAGGAATTCCGGAAAAGCTGTCGCGGTAGGCAGATCGTATTACCAATTAGGACGGGATAACATTGCTTTGCGTGCATCCAGTGAATTGTACTTCGTTTACTCATTTTCTTGTCTTCCTCGAACAGTCCTGATGCTTTTCGGACATGCAACCAAACTGCGAAGCTTCATGGTAAGATGCATTAACAAGTATCTTACTGTAATAATAGAAAATGAATAAAATTCGGAAATTTTTCCCTTAGATAAGCGCTTTCATGGCGAACATGACCTCTGAAGAACATGTAAGCGCTTCGGTGGAGTTTCCGTTTGATTTAGATGTACAGGTGTAACGTGACTGCATTATAACTGAAATGAATATTCCAGGTATTTGTCGCAGTGGGACAGACGTTTCCGTACAAACCATTTGGCAACTATACGTAGGAGTATGGCGATGCCGACGACGAAATTACTAGACAAGCCTTCCGAAATTTGCTGCTGGTTGAAATCTTTGATGCTACAATTCGTAGTCCATCCGACACGCTGCGAGTCGCGAGATACCTGGATCGAGATGGCGAAAGCGGAATACAACTACACGATTAAATGGAACGAAACAGTTCGTAACATTTTCGTGCTGCCAAGACGGCCTCTTTAAGATTTCCCTGCACGCTTGCTCTAATTGTAGGCGGTTCAGTTTTTGGCTGCAGCCTACAGTTCCGTGGAGATATTCTTTCAAATACTGAACGAAAGCATTGCCAAACAGCCTGACTTCGATTATAGCGATGGGAAAGGGTTTGCTTCGTTATTCTACAATCGCACGTTCAATACCAGGTTTTTAAGGATTGCTATCGATGAATTCACGGCAACGACGTATTGCTTTCGCGGTGAAATCATTGAATCCTGAGACGAATCGCATGGATGTAACCTCACAATTATACATTATTTTAAGTGTGGCTTAATAATTCTAGTATTTTTCAGACAGTTATGTATGAGAATTATGGCAGTACCGAAATCCAAGTGAACAGCACAATTTATTGGGCAGGGAAACCAAACCGCCAGCCTCCACGGAACGAACCGATCTGTGGATATTTAGGCAACAAAGGACCCTGTGCTCCAAGAGGTGAAGTCACCCGCTAACGTTCACTATGCTACCACTTACGTAAACATAGCGCCTTCTTATTTTACGTCATCACTGGGGATACCATAATGTATACCTAATAATAGCAAGTGGTTAATTCGATAATTGTACTTTCAGATGATGCGGGAAAGATAATCGGAAGTGTGGTTGGTGTTTTTGTGGTTGTTTGCGGCATCTTGATTGCAGTGGCTTATCGCATGATTAGGTATATGGTCGATTTTTTATGAAACAGTGACAATTTGTTTTATTTCATCATTTCCAGACATCGTCTGCAATCTGACTCAGCGGAATTATCCTGGATAATTGATCACAGCCAGTTAACACGGCCAGCCGGTCTTCGGTCAACAGAATCACTGACACAAACGAACGTAAGAAAGTTGAAAACCATACACAAAGCTAGTTTCCGTCCCATCGGTGGTAAGCGTGTTCTGTTTCAATTCCAAAATGCCGACAGCGCCGAGAACGGTAAGTCTATCTTGGAAAATCATGCAGAAGCGTTAGGTTATGATGTGGTTTCAACAAAACCCAGAATGTCAAGAGTAATTGTTCGCCGAGTCCCAAAAACACTGTCCAATGATGACCTTTTGAATGAAATTCGAGCTAAAAACATCCTCCCACCCAACGCAGGTATTAAATTGGTCACACGCCTAACCAGCCGCCGCGATGAAGTCTCCACATGCGCAGTTGTCTTGGAAGTCAGCCAGGCTACTCGCAATATCCTGACTGACCAACGGTTCCTAATAATTCAGTGGTCACGTTGCCCCATTGAAGACCACGTACACGTACCGCAGTGTTCCACGTGTTGCGCTTATGGTCACACTTCGACGAAGTGTGATAAATCACCTCGATGTGCTTATTGTGCTAAAACCCATTTGTCTACTGACTGTCCGGAAAACGATGATTTTTTATTTGTGTGCCCGCTCTGTAGTGACAGCAAGGTTTACTCGCAAGCTAACTACCATTCGGCTTATGATCGCTCGTACTGCGCAGTTTTCAAAAATTCGCGTTATTTTCACAATCAAAATGTTCCAAAAAACCGGTAAATGACCATGAAATTTTGAAAACTAATTCTGCTGGAATAATTACGTCTCTGAATATTAATTTACCAAATTGTGTGGACCATCGAATTGTATCTGTTAGACACCCGGAGCATCCGGCTCCTGTTGAAAACATCCGTGTTCGATGCTGTAATGTCAGAAGCGTAAACAATAAAAGTGAAGAAGTGAGTTTGTTCTGCTCAGCCAGCGATGTGACCGTACTCACGGAAACATACGACAGACCATTTATGACAGATTCTGATTTCGCCGACCTAGATAACTTTAATGTATTTCGGAAGGCCCGAGCTGATGGTCGTGGTGGTGTGGCTATTGTAATTCGTAATACGTTACGTGGAATTCATAAGACGGAGCTGGAAACTCCATTACTTGAAATTCTCTGTGTACACTCTCTGTCTCTTGATCGAATTTTTATTGCCTTTTATGCTCCGCCTGATAAAAGCATGTTTGCTGTTCCTGCGCTAATTGAACATCTGCGTTCCAATTTCTCTGCTCATTTATTAACGAAATGCATAATCATGGGTGATTTTAATCGGCCTGACATAAATTGGACAACCAAAACTGGAAGCAGGCCAGCTAGCCGCGAGTTACTAAAAGCTGTTAATGAATTTGGACTGACACAGATAATCGATTTTCCCACTAGAGGACTAAACTGTCTTGATCTCTGTCTACTAAGCGTGAATTGGTGAATATATTTTATTAGCACAAGCCAGTTAGAATACATGAATTGGCAACAAATAGAGAATTACAATACCAAAATTTCTTCTAATTTATCCGCGCCTTCCATTGTCCCCAGCACGGAAGCCGCGTTGCCTCGCTGTATTTCGATCGACAGACGTTGACGTAAGAATTCGTGTGAGCGAGGTTTCCCGGTGTGTTGCTGTAGCCGCTTGCCGATTTCCTTTATTAAAGCAGATGCCGATTTTCCCCAGGGCCCGAACGTTTCAAAGGCTAGTGCTGCAAAAATGTATCTGCCTACAAGATACGCATAGAGTCTGGCTTTCTTGTCTTCGGCTTGGGCCGCGGCGGATCCGGCAACTGAGGAAGTGGACTTGATATGGGATGAGGCGACAGTGTCGACGCAGGTGACATCCCAAGCCAGACACATACCACGTTTCCAGGCAAAGGTCGTGCATCCGTCTGGGCGACGTTCAGATGTATGGGATGTGCCACGAGGTTCGAGTTTTGCTGGAATGCCCGCCGAAACCAATGATCGGCACACGATGCTGTTCAAAGCACCGTGTCGTGCATGCCTCCCGGCCGAAAACGAGCATGACAGTCCATGGTGGCCGTATACATCTACAGGCTTGCGGCATTTGGCACATGCGTGTGCTTCACATATGACTGCGCCCAGCCTGAGTCCGACTGATATCTTGAGGGTGTCGTCATCTAAGAGATTTCCGATATGCGCCGATGGCAAAGCATTCAGCCAGATACCTGCTTCCGGTTTCGACTGGGCAAGGAGGCGGGCTCGGTTAGTTTCATCGTCCCGGAAGACTTCCAGCAGTGTCGACAGCGACATGTTGCAGAGCGGTACATCCCATGCGGGCTGCGACTTCAAGTAGATCGATTCCGGGAGTTCTGTCTGACCACTTTTCGCTTTCCACAATTCCTTTGCGTTAGTGGCGTCCACGGCCGCGTGATTGGGAAGCAACAGCGACACGAGTCCGGAAGCGGAATGACGAGCGTGAATTCACTTTTCGAGCCTGCATTCCCAATTAGCCCGCCCACTTCCAGCAATGACCATATTGGTTTTGAATTTTCTTTGAAACTGAAGAAGTATCGGAGAAAGTTTCGCACAGTCAAGCGGTGGAAAATTGAGAACGATAAAGTCGACCAATTTCTTGTTGCGTTAAATGCTGTAGACTGGGCAAATTTGTTTTGCGGTCTGAACGTAGACCAAAGAGCATAAAAAGTTGAAGAAACTTTTCTGACAACAGCTAAAACCTTTTTTGTTTGTGAAAATGTAAAATTACGCAAAAGTTCAGTAAAATATCCTAAAAACATAAAAAAAGCAGTCAATTCTCGGGATCGAGCTTTTAAACTGTACCGAAAAACTGCATCAGTTGACCTGGAAATGAAATGGAAAACTGTCTCAAAGAAGTGTGATGCCCTGGTGCGGAAGTTTAGAAAACACAAGCTTTCGAATATATCTACAGCTTTCCGTAATAATCCTTCTAAATTTTGGCGGTTTATGAAGTCAGTGAATGATCGTATCGGCATGCCACCGCTCAAGGTGGCCGATGGCAAGTCGGTTGCAACAGATCGTGAGAAAGCCAAAATACTTAATACAGTTTATCAAGATTCTCAATCTGTGTGCAATGCTCACTGTAAGTACTGGTACCAACATTAATGTATTATGCAATAACCAGGAGACCTGGGAAATTTCAGAACTATTAATTTTTGAACAACTTGCGAAAACTTCTGTTGCCGCGTCAAGTGGTAAATTTGAAATTACAAATAAACGTTTAAAAATCGCAGCGCTATCGATAACTAAGCCGCTTAAAATGATTTTTGATGCCGCTATCAACGAAGGCGTATTCCCAGCAAGGTGGAAGCATTTTTTCATAACTCCAGTGCCAAAAGTGTTTGCAGATCACAGGCTACCTAGCAGTTACCGTCCGGTCTCAATGCTGAATCCTGTATCGAAAATTTTTGAACGATGTCTTGACCAGTTAATTCGTGACCATTTAAGAAAAACAACACTCTTTTTGATCACCAGTTTGCCTACCGGCACAAAAGATCCACTGAACTACAGCTTTTCCTTTTTGTGAAATTTGTGAATGGTTTTATTACTAATAGCAACGCTGTAGACGCTGTGTTTCTGGACTGTTCAAAAGCATTTGATAAGCTTTCTCATGAATCAATCATCGACGCACTGATTCAGATGAATCTTCCAAGTCAGATAGTGCATCTCATTTCTAACTATTTAAAAAATCGGTCGCAGTGTGTTACAGTGGAAAATGAAATTTCGACTTCGCTACCTGTCCGCAGTGGTGTGCCTCAAGGTTCTGTTTTAGGGCCTTTGTTGTTTTTATGTGTCCTCAATTTGTTCATACGTGCGCTGAAAAACGGAAGCACCGCTTTTGTTTTTGCGGATGACATTGTTGTGTTTCGCCCAGTCATCGACGCATCGGACAGTCAGCTGTTACAGGAAGACTTAACGCATCTTGGTGAGTGGCTGAGTAACAAGCAGCTTGTTCTGAACGCTGCAAAATCCGCCCATGTTCATTTTTCCAGACAAAACTCCCTTGACTTCCCATATCAATACAGCATCAACAACGTTCCAATACCAAAGTGTGAACATGTAAAACACCTGGGAATATTCGTCGACCGAAAACTAAACTTTAAGATCAACAGCGAAAATCTGGTAAAGAAATGTAACAAACGAATCAGCTACATCAACCACATTTTTCGCTACACCGACTATGGTGCTCGTATACGACTTTACGAGTCACTTGTCCTCTCAGTTATCGATTACTGCTGCATCATTATGAATCCTTCGTTCAAGCAGTCGATAAATCTCATTGAACGTTGCCAAAGGAGATTTTCTAGAACATTGCGGCTCGGCAACAGTGTCTTGAATTACGAAGAACGTCTAAAAGAGCTTCAGTGGGATGATCTTAAAACGCGACGTCTCAAAAAAGCACTTTTGTTTATATACAAGTTAGTTTTCCGGGTGGTACCGATGGGTGATCTAATCGTATCACCACTCACATTCTCCGCTGCCGTGCTTGAGTCTGTTGCAGGAAACACCAGAATTTCAGAACGCCTAATGAAGCATCCCTGTCCGATCAAACCCGCCCCGATAACCGTTTGCGGAGTAACTGTGACCCCTGTCCATGGATCGTATCTTAACAACCTTGTGTCCGTCTGGAATGAACTTCCTTTGCAACCCATTGCGTACGTTACGCTGGATGCCTTTACGGAAGCTCTAAGGACCGTAAAATGGGACGATATATCATCAGCGAAAGTCTTCAGAACTAGTGTTTATCCTAATTGTGTTCGTTCTTGTAAACCTAAATTTTTTGCTGTACTACAAAACTTTAGATTCACTAAAGTTGTTAAACGGTTGCGATCTAGTTGAAACAGTACAACACGGCGATTACGTGCGTAAGTGTCCTTGCTTTCCTTTTCTCCCACGATTTCATTTTGAAAACATTTTCTGAAATTTGACAATAATTATTAACGTGGGTTTTGGTTTTATGCATCGACACCAGCGCGATCGTCTCCCTCCCCTTTTCCACGATAGAAATCAACTGATCGCAACTACAAAAAAAATCTTCCCTCCTGTTGTTTTTTTCAATTGTTACGTATATAATTTTTGTTTGCTGCATACTGACGTTCATGTTTTTCATGTCATTATTGATTCACGATGTTGTCGTAACGTTCTGTATGTTTTTTACCACTGTCTCGCTGTCTGAAGCTTAAAGGGGGCAACCGCTCCGTGCAAGGACAATAAACTCATTATTATTATTATTATTTTAAGGCTACAAGAACATTCAAAACTTGTGAATATTCTTGCAGCCTTAAAGCTAGGGAAGGACACTCACTTATTTTCGAGAACACACGTGATTCAAAGTGGTACCACGGTACATATATCTTAATTATATGCCTTGGTACTACAGTAAAACCTGCGTACTTTGAACACCTGCGGTTCCAAATTTTTCGTTCAATGTAGACGCCTGTTCAATGTACAGAACAGCTGCCCCCAGGAGGCAGTGGTTCTATGCACTAAACCTGATTCTTAGGGCGGACGGCCGCCGCCCCAAGGGGAGCGGCCGCGTTAGCAAGCCTAATATACCGGTACGTATTTGCGCGCATAACAAATCAAAAATCGTGTTGTGTTAAAGTTGCAACAAGCAAATGGTTGGTAAACTTTGGTCCGTTAAACGAAAATTTTTATGTTTTTCGCTCCTGAACCAGGTTCTGGCGCTTTGTTCATTTTCAAAAGGACTAAATATTAGTAAATTATAAGATCCGTGCCAGCTAATTTGTTCAATGTTCACTTTAGAGAGATGTTCAATTTACGCGAGGTCCCCCCTGTGTCATAGTCTACTAGACGCGCCGGTTCCGTAATGACCGTTCAATGTACACCAGTGTTCAATTTACGCGAGTGTTCAAGGTCACAGGTTTTACTGCAGTAGTACTTTCACGGTATCTGAGAATCCGCTTCGCAGTTATAAATTTATAATCATCTAAAGTTACGAGTGGAAGTGGCATTAGGAAATCAACAGCAAAGGTCGTTGTGCGTACACGAATTTCTCCAAGGCTTTGAAAAATCAAAGAAATGTAATAAGTTACTCTGATTATGCTGTAGTATTCGGCGGCGTATTTGCCAGTACAGCAGCATGTCTGAATTTATTCCATGCCACTGGACGATAACGTCAATACCGCCATTGGGGCGTTCGCGGAACGGTATAGGCCTACGGCTCGGCTGATTTACGAAGTAAGCTAGCATACACTTGAATAATTGCTTGCAGTATCAAAAGTTTTCTTTGGTTGTCGTTGCAGTTGCGACACATTAATTCAGACAATATCAATGTTCTCCTTGGACTGAGCTTGGACCTTAGCAGAACGCGGCTGCTGTTTGTCGCGTCATTCTGTGAACGCGGGTCTCTCAATGATCTTTTTGATTACAAAATCGTTTGGATATGGACCTTCAAAATTCGCTGGCTGTGGATCTTATTCGTGTAAGGGCCAATGTGTATGTCTTTGTTTGGCTGCTGACGTTTTTCAACTGTTGATTGAGACTTCTGTGTCATGTTGTTAAACCGTTAAACTTAATGTAGGCAATACATTTCATCCATACCAAGACATCGCTTCGTTACCACGGTCATCTATCGCGATGGGTGTGTCTTATTGATCGTCATTTTACCTTGAAGACTGGAAAATTTGGATACGTGGCATTGTCGCAGAGTTTGTGAGGTCGTGCGATAGAAAAGCCGCATGACAACGCTAAGAAACTGCTCTGGACGGAGCCAGAACTGTTACGAGACGCCAAAGGTCATCCAGACAAAGCCGCAGATATTTACAGCACCGGCATTATTTTGTATGAGATTTTCACTTTGCGATATCCATACGACAATTCACCACAAGCTTCTGGCAATCTGGAAAACAATGGTACCGGCTACGTTTTGGTCTAATTTCTGAATACAACTCGTAATATACGTAAATCAGAGCGCGATTGTAGACTTCGTCTTCCAAAGCGTCAGCGTATTTCTTCAGCCGGTGTAATACATTATCAAAAAATGATGTATCCTGTTTTAAGGATAAGCCGAGTTTGCTGGTCATTTGATTGAGGAGGTTAGAAGAATCGGGGCGCAGTGTTGGCTGCTCATTCCAAGATGTATCCAGAATTTGCATAACCGTACTCAGCTGCCTAGTGGGATGGTCAACTGTCGGAAGCAGATATGAAGACTGGCCGCTCCGGATGGTCTCGATTATTTTTTGAGCTAACGCAAAATCAAAATCATTCACCACCTGGTATGCATACCGGTATGCACCAGATTCCAGATTTTCAACTATGCTGGTCGTCAACTTTCAATAAATATCAACAGAGTCATAAAATTAGGTTACATTGGCAGCACCTAACTTAAATGTATGTATGCTGTATCATGTGACTTGTTTGTAGGGCCGTGCGTTGCTGGGGTTGAATTCTCGCTATTGCTTGTAAGCAAATGTTGTCACCCAGTTAAAAGTTCATACAGCAAAATGTTCGTAGATTTGGCGACACAGTAAATAATACAGCCTCACGAATGCAGAGCTACAGCTTCCTGGCTATATTCAGCTGAGCGCGGAAACGGCTGACCTTCTCCGCAGCGTTCCTTATCAGCCTTACGAGGTCAAGGAACGCGGGAGTATAGATATCAAAGGGAAGGGGATGCAGAGAACGTACTGCCTGCTCGGAGGACACACCACTAGACTACCTTAAACTACCAGAATCATGGCATCCACCTATTGGCTGACAGCATTACGACACTTACTTAGTTGCTTTTACGACAGCTCAAATTTTCTGCACTGGTCACTTGTCGTCAGTAATTCAGAGTTTAATTTATGCTGACTGGATAGGTTTAGGCAAAAACTATGGCTGTAACGTCCCTAGTTTATTGTTTAACTCGGGTCGGCCTACTTTACCTTTGCCGCCCCTTTGCCTTTGCCGTTTCATTTTGCCTTTTTCAACTTTACCTTTAACTTTGCCGCCGTCAAAACCTTTACCGTTTAATTTATCGTCAAAAATTACCGTTTAGAATGCCTTTGCCGTTAATTAACCGTTAATCAATAAATTACCGTTGCCACTTTGCCGTTTTTCTGTATATTTACTTGATATAGGTTTTAATAAGCAAAACGTAACGTACACATACATCGATGAATCTGGTGCACTATAAATACTTACATGCAAAAAAAACTCTACTCGTAAGGAATCACAAAAATTTACTGGTTCACTATAGAAAAGTAGTGCGACGCAGATGTTAATTTATTCGTTCGTTACCGATCATGAAAGATGTCATTACACCCGTATCCTTCTGTAACGAAGAGAATGTGTGTATGAAAGTATTTTCTTGCTAACTTTCTTACAATGGAATAATTTTTGTACCGGAAGAATGATTCTTTAACTTCTGTGTTAAGTTTTGCAGCGTGGTGTAATACTAATGGACCAATTACGCAAATTGTTGCACAAATTTATTATGTTTGCGGTGTCAGTAATTTTTGTTTGTGTGGCTAGGAACTGAACTACTGTAATAAAACTGCGTAAAATTTCACATATATGTCCGTACAATATATTTAATACTAATAGTTGGTAATGTGCCACATTCATCGATGTACGTGTACGTTACGTTTTGTTTACTTACTTAAAACGTATAACAAGTAAATATACAGGAAAAAGGTAAAGTGTCAACGGTAATTTATTGCCTAACGGTTAATCAACGGCACAAAGGCTTTCTAAACGGTAATTTTTGACGGTAAATTAAAACGGCAAAGGTTTTGGCGGCGGCAAAGGTAGGAATCACTCCTTATCGAGACGACGAGATCTACAGACATATCTGTAAATGCAAAACGAAATAAAAAAACAACATAAAAGCATTGAAATTCAGAGTCACACAAAAATGTGAAGAGTTATTGCGGTTTTCAAAAACTATCTTGGGTCTGCTTAATTATTCAGCGCTATATGATCAAAGCAAGCAGTTCGGTTGTGGAACGAACGTTCTATAAATGTCATGGTTCGAATGAACACTAAAAGAGGAATAATACTCGTGAGTAGAATCAGTAGATTACTCGTAATACTAATGAATACTCCTGGGTAGATTACTCGCCGAACGCCCAGTACCAGGTAATTGTATTGAATGCTGAATTATATATCTGTTGATCCTTCTTTTTGCAGATGCCAAAATTACTGTCCATTCTATGTACCTAATGTACGTGTATCAGCTATTGTTTATTCATTAAAATGCCAAGCCTTGTACGGAGTACTAGTAAAGGAAGTGAGAGAATTCGATTCCAGTTCGATTTCAGTTTGCTTCTAAATCTCGCTTGCCAATGGCGAAACGGATTAATTCTAATCCTGATCTGAATACGCTACCTGCTTAACTCTGATCTGATTACACGATCATCAAGCGCTAAGTAAAATACCGCTTGTCAAAAATGGTTAATCGGCGTCATGTTGCCCTGAATATTGATGTAGAAGCTTGGAGGTTCATTTACCCTGTTCCCTGTTGTACGGCAATCCTGCGAACTGCGATAAAATCGCAATCGTTTTCAACTTCCTTATTCAGCCCCCACAGAATCCGATTTTATGTTAACACACCTTTTAAAATGACCTTTATTACTCATCATTCTACTTTTTCTGAAGATGAATATTTTGCTTCTGCAAAGCGCGGCTTCATTACCGAAAACCGGTGCAGCTTCGTTCAAAGTGGAGATTGTCACATGGGGACATGTGAGTCCACTGTCGCTAGCAGCTATTGTTTACCATGGTCCACCAATAGAGACAGCTGTCGCGGATATGAATGCGAAATATAACGAATCCATCGACAGACTATGCTCATCTAACTGTGCTGATTAATTCGTCCATTGTATCGTGCGACGATATGGTCTCCGTCTCACAGAGTGATGCTATAATGTCCAGCTGGTACTATCGAAGGCGTACGGATGTCAATATGAGCGTTCTCATTGCAGCCGGTAAAATCGTATGGCGTTTCTTTTCTAAAGCGCATCGTGATAGAAGTATTAAAACTCCAACTTTCATACATGTTTTTACAGTACGATTCCAAAATTAATCCGTAAAATGTGAAACTGTTACTAGAATCTGTTACACTGCATTTTTACTGATGGCGAAAAACTACTGGTTATGGGTACTCATAGACTCATAGTTGTAATTACTGCTAATTTCAGGTTGCACGGAGATTTTTAATACAAATCGTTTGGTTGCTGCATGGAATCTTTTTGTACTAACCACGTAATCCGAGCAATCACTGCAGGCTCGGGTTGCAACTTGCAATGTATTTATGGGTTTTCACTGGCGTTTCAGTGTAGCAAGCGACGCCGTTCAAACCAACAAAGAAATCACCCCCACGTGGGTATCCCCCTCTGTACTAACGACACAGGCCTATGCTGTCTTTCTGCGTAACTTGTTTCTCCGATACAATTGGACAAAATTTATAAAATCAACCCTAAATACAATATATACCATTCAGAAGATTTATTGATTTCTTTAAGATCACCCTTTTCACTCCGTTTGCTGTAGCCTGTACCCCCTTCTCCACCCTGTTCTATTTAGAATAGGCACCCGTATTATATTTAGATAATTCTCGCACCCGTTTTTTCCGCGGACTATAGGCACCTATATTTTTAAATTTTTTTTTGCCCCAAAGGACTGACCGGATTTTTTGGACAATTTTTTTGGTTCTCAAAAATTTTTGAGTTTGACGATCTAACATGACTGAAATAAGGCATTCACACAAAAAGGTGTTACTATAAGCGACTAAGCGTTTTTCCCAGGCTTTCAAATCGTCTGACTACAGACGTTAACTCTTTCATACTGCTTGAAAAAGCAGCTTCGAGTAGCTTGAAATACCTAGTTACACGGTAAAAAAAATGTGTGGTGATTGCTAATTTGCTATCATGTATCAAGCAATCGTAAGCATTATGCCTGCCCCGGGATGCTGCAGGCAAGTCGTGTAATTGCATGTAATCATCATATACCCGGTAACTATACCAACTATAGCTTCAGTTTTTAGTTTTCTTTTTAGTTTTTTTTAGTTTTTTTCGTTTCTAAAGAGCAGGATGCGCTCTTGTTTTGAAAAATAATGGCCCATACGAAATCTGCTGTTTGAAAAATAGTGGCAAACGCTGAAATAGCGGCACCTCAACAAAATAAGCGCACCTATACTAGGGCGTTTGAACTATCGTATCTGCCGCCCAGTGCCACAAATTCGCTAATTACGGTATTTCACAATTGCTTTCCCACAAGGTTCTAGTTTTTTTTTGTTAATAGTGTTCTAATCAGTCCTATAAGTCATACTTCTATAGCAGCATACTTATGTGCATTCAAGGTCAGCTGTCTCTAGATAAATATTCTGGTAACCTTTGGACCGTACTGTGAGTGTGTATTGACAAGTTTACGTACCATAAAAAGCCACTACTTTTTACGCTGAATATCCGGGGCGCACAGCCAATTTTTTCCGCGTCCCGACCGGGCGCACAGCCAATTTGCACCCCGGTTGTCGGGGCGCATAGCGCTGACCTTAAATTAATTAGCATGATACTGTACTCGTATATGAAACATGCGCTCGCGCATTATCCTTACAAACGCTATTAGCCGAATTGTATGGCGAGAATCGATTATCACAGGTAAAAGTTGAGCTCCTGGTATAGCATCGGATATGCAAATTTAAGTCGCTTTTCTTTTACTGTCTTACGTAACACGCAATGTATTTGGTCGAAGCCGCCAAAACGGCTTGGTTGTATAATACAAATACAACTTGTATTTGCCTGACGTAGATTGCGTTGTAAAGACTGACCGACAAGATGACGTTTGACAGGAACTTTTTAACGGGAAAACTGTACGTAATTATTGCCGGCATCAACAAAGTGCAGCAGTTAAAATGCATGAAAGTTTTGGCAGCCCATTTTGGAAAATGATCTGCTGGTGTCAGAATATGCAATATGCATGCGTTTTCGATGGAACAAGATCATGCTGTAAGCAAATAATTATGGTATGTCCAGGAACCTAATTAGTCAGAAAACACTCAACGCAAAGAATACGCGATTTACGGCAAAATAAAAGAAATGTAATACTTTGTTAAGAAAACAGTTCTTTTTTTTAAAAACCGAGTACATATTGAGAGTATTCTAGCACACGTACTGTATGTTTGATGCTACCAGGATAAATGTAGATATACGGCCTATACAAAACTTCGAAAACATTGCATAAAAAGGGACAAATTCGGATATGCCTTTCACTTCATCCATGTCCTATCTGTACAGAAAATATTCTTATGAAAAACCTTGTTTTGTCCTTGCAATACTGCCGGGCAAAAAAACTTACCGGCAGTTTGCAAGCTTAGATAATTACGCATAAAACACACTATTTCAACTGTTCAGACAGCTAAAAAAAGAAAACCTAATAAACCAGAAAAGCCAATTTAAAATTTATTTTTTTAATTTATTTAAATTCCATAAAAATGGATACTTTTCGCAGCAATGATGGACAAATACAGATATTTCTTTAGTGACAGTTTCCGTGAATGGACATATGCCAACCAGATGGTTCAACCACCACCGGGAGGCAGTTTGGTGGCAGCCCGCCTAAAATTTTGCTTTTGTGTCACAGATATGACGACTACTGTACATACTGGAGGTACAGAATTATGCAGCAGTTTTCTACTAGGTACTTCTTATTTTACCACTTTTTATGTTGTTTGCAATTTGCACAAGTGCAATTTCCAAAAACGGGAAGTTTATAAAAACCGAAAACATCGCTCATAATAATTATTAGGTACGTGTACTAACTAGTACAGTACATACGTACAGATACTGCGCCAAAAGTACTGTACTATAGCACATACGTACCAGTACAGTAAATTTGGCGCAGTACCTGTAAGTACTGATTTGACTTAAACCTGAGAACTCAAAACATTTTAGGCTGCGTTTAGAGTTGTTGGTTTAAATTTTTACTTGATCAGGTTTTCCGATTTGAGTGGTATAATGATAGTCTCTTAGTCTCGCACCTTTTCCAGTACATATTTGGAGACACAAATTGTATCATTTTGTCTGGTATCTATTCTCCGAGTCGGAGACTTGTTGTCCATATTTTTTGACGCAGTAATATGGACAATCACAAGAAATCTCAGACGGTTAGTGTTGCAGCGAGTTAGTGTTCAAAATGATTCCGAAGAAATGACTAAATACCCTCGCTCTTCACGCATTTTTCTCGCTGTCGAATCTGATTTGGAATTCTTCTGCGTAGGAAAGGGGCGATGGAGATGTCGAGATCATTTCAAAGACACACGTCCGCATTCCGGAGAGCGGTGCTCCGATTGAGGCGCGAACATCCTTGTCGACGCGATCGCGACGCTCCGTGGCCTTTGCAGATGTGCACGATGGCCGACGTAGTCAGAGTGTTCCGCGTTTAATTGGCGAACAGACCCAGGGACAGCGCATCCAGCAAAGTAAGGCATTAAAAATTATCCTTAAAAATTTTGTGATCGCTTGTAATGTGAAAAAAATGCCACAGTAATTGTTCATTTTACAGTAAATTACCAAATTAATAACGTCGTTATTTTAAAATAAAATAACGCAGCAATCAAGAGAGCGTGACAAATAAAGAAACAGTGATTTAACAACTAGAATAGAAAATAAAAGTGGGTAATGCTGAAAATTATAATCACACCCATGTATATTTGTAGCTCGTACTTGTGCAGTATCACTTCTAAAGTAGCTACGCAGCGATCTATTGCATACTTACTTCTTTCAATAACGCTATGACTTTTTTTCATAGGAATTATCGCAACTACGATCGCTATAATTTATTAAAAGTTGTGCTGGCATTTTTGCAGGCAACGCGACTCGATGCGATGCAGATTCCATCGCCAACGTGCCCGGCCCGTCGGAGATGCCCCGCGCGGAGGTAGTAAGCGGCATCCTAAATCGCCGCCGGTCCCGCTCCGTGGGCGGTGGTTTGGATGTTCATCATGATTTCGTGTCCAAGCGGATGGGGTACGCCACCAAATGTATGCTCTGCCGCATTCCGGTCCGTTTCGGGCGCGTAGGACTGGTGTGTTCCGATTGCCGGATGGTGGTGCATGACGCCTGCCAGGCCCTTATCACGACACCGTGTGCCCCGGAGCGAGATCGACCGAATGCCGATCCGTCCAACGGCACATCCGTGCGCTGGGTGCGTAATGCTAATTATTTGCTTTTAAATTAAAAGTCAGTTTTCGTAATATTGTGATGCATATTACATACATAAAATCGCGATCAAAATGCAATGCGTTTGCTAGCATGCTGGTTTTTCTTACTGCAGAGGAATGCCACACAGCTGATTATCTCAGAAGTGTAATATCTCAGAACAAAAACTATTTTAATTGAATTAAAGAACAAAAAAGAGTTGGTTGAATAGCAATATTTACAGTATACAAATTTTCTAAATGTATTTGACAGTTTTTGTCATAAAAATAATACAATGTTTGAAATTTTATAGATCGATATGTTGGTGCACAGCTTAATGTTTCATATTATCGCAGCTGGATTTAATTCGAGTTGCACAAGCCGAAACTCCACGCGTCCCCACTTTGTTTGTGCAGTTGGTGCGCTTCATAGAGCGACATCTCAACGAAGAAGGTTTATATCGAGTTCCCGGATCAGTCAAACAAGTTAAAAAGCTCAGACGGAGTCTGTTGAAGAATAATAATGAATTTCGGAAGGTAAAGTAGCCGGTATGATATATATGGAGATTCGAAAAGCAAAACGGCAGTACTGTCTTTAGGATGACCTGTACGATGTCCATGTGGCGTGTAGTTTGCTGAAGAATCTCATTAGTGGATTAAAGGAGCCCTTACTTACATACCAGTTATGGTCGGAGCTCAGTAAGACTGCCTATACGTTTTCGTTGGCTAACTTACATATGCGGTGTATTTAATAATTGTTATCCACTGTGTAGCATCAGCGAACATGGACGAATTTTATCGCCTGATCAACAAGTTACCACCGGTCAACCGCGAGACATTGGCGTATCTGATGCTGCATTTCAGAAAGTAAATAATCCTGTTTTAGTTAGTGCAGTAATTATTCTTAAATTAGTTGTATTTTCGCAGTTTTTACTATAGCTTAATAATGGGTTTTGATGAAACAGGTGACATACCTTACAGATCGCAGTGAATAGTTCCATTAACGACATCACAGCACAATAAACTGTCCGTAAAATGTTTACGTGTAATGAAAACTGACTCGTAATTTACTGAGTTATGATTGGACATCTTCGCGACTGTAGGATCACCCTGGCGCCGAATGTGCGCATGCCGGCGACTAATTTGGTGAATGCGATCGCTCCTACCATCGTAAGCAACTCACGTCCGCGAAAGCAGATGACGCCGCAGATGCTGACCGCCGAGACCTTCCGTGCGCAGATCATTATGAGCAAGCTGTTGGATATCCCCGTTCGTTTCTGGGAAGACATGATCCGCGGTGGACCGACCGGATCAGGAACCTCGAATGGACAAATAATCGGTGCCGGTTCCGACAACTTTGTCCCAAAGAAACTCGACGATATAGTCGAGCCGGTTCCGGTAATCCCTGAAGGGATCATAATCGTGAACGGATATCACGATGTGGAAATCGTTGATCCAGGAGTGCCCGCTCATGTTGTCGGAGGAATCGGTAATGAAAACCAAGGAAACGCCCAGGGAGGAGGAGAAGGAGGAGGAGGAGGAGGAGGAGAGGACGAAGAGCATGATCAGGAAATGGATGTGGAAAATTATCCACAATTCATTGCAGCGTTTGTCTTTGAGGGTCAGCGTTAATATTACAAAGCACATACGTGTTGTACATTCAAATAACTATGTACACTAATTATGTATACGTGCACATAAAGTACTTGTTGCGCTTGTTTGCAGACCCCGGCCTCATCCAGAATTTTGTAAATCCACCGGTGTCGTCCGATGAATTTCTCGGTCACTACGGCGCGAACGAGGATATTCAGTTCATTTTCTATGGCCGAGTATTCACGCTTCCGGACATTCCAGATCATCTGTATTTATGCCTGGATGTAGGATTTGAAGATGCATTTGAAGAAATGCGCGATGACATTTTGTAAGTTGGCACAGAATCATCTTAGTGTTTTGACTAGCCTAGCATATTCGATGTTCTTTAACGGATAAGGATAATTATGTAAGAGTGCCTGTTTACGGGCTTGGCTACTCGAAAATAAGTAAATAAATCAATCAATTAGTAAATAGTAACAACCGCACTTTTTATCACTGACCATGCTCGGTGCGGCTTCCGCAGTTTCGCGTACATACGTGCTAATTCTCGCGGTGATTCGTTTTCTTTCTGCAGACATTGTGTTGAGAATGACTGTACCGATGTGTTCCTGATGGAGGCGCCAGCAGGAAATCCTGTCATCGCCGCCGCAGCCGCAGACGACATCTAAACCCTTTCTCACATACCAATTATGGGCCCAGAGTTCAGTAAGATGGCCTGTACGTTTTCGTTGGTAAACTTTACTTTCGTTGCATCTCTGTATTTGCGAACGATAAAAGCCAAAATAGGGGTAACCTTAATAAATGTGTTATTATTGTGTGTTATAGTCCAGTCAATTATTCTTGCTTCTTAGTGCGAGTTTTGGCTCTGATTTTTCATTGTAACAAGAAGCGAATGAAGGAAATTCGCAGAGCGAAATTAGCTCCATTAACCGGCACTAATAAATTAGCACAACCCGCCAATTCAGCGGGTGATACTAATTAGTACTGCATTATAAATTAATTCTAGTACTTCAGCCTACATACGAGCAGAGATAACCATGTATGGGTCCAGTAAACATAATAATATAAAAAAGTCATCCGGAACTACATTCTGTCACATAAATACTACCTGTGCGAACTATTATTCTGCCAGCTTACCGCTAGGATTGAGGTACAACATGGCGTTAATGACACTAAGCATAACCGAAGTAGTAATAATTATTAACAATGCCAAAACTTTCATAATGTTCCAGCAGCAAGTTTCGTTAAGTTGAACCCAAAAGTGTTGCAGACCTGCGCCCGGGAAAAGACTGAAAACGAAAATATGGAATATTTTTATCCGAGTCACCGCGTTTCGAGTCTTTTCGCTGGCAGATGTTTAATCAGTGCCTTATATACCCATTGCCGAGAAGAAGAGTTGCGTTTGGTTTTCTAGCAAAAACATCACATGGAATCACTGAATAGCAGGGTCAAGAGATAACTACAAAAGCGCATGTCACCGTTGACTCCAGTAACAGTGCGTACTGCGTGCACATTACAGTAGTTTACCGGAAATTGTCGCTATTGCCTGCCTGTTGATGCCCCATCCAGCCAAAACCCAACCTGTTCCTAATCATGCTTCTGACGGAAGCGTTAACGTACATACTCGACTCGAAAATTTGTCGAGTGGCCAGTGTGTGCGGGAAAAACTTCTAACGAATAAGGCTTTAACTGGCTTTGAATATTAATATTACGTCTACGCTGTGGCTTGGCCTTCAACGGTATTTGTGCCTGTGCGGCCATTCGCAGTTTTTACCTTTTTAAAAACGGCTTACGGTTACGACATCATCCTGTGTAGAAAACTCTACTCCCAAACCCAAACTATACGATTTTTACCGGACGTGCAACAAGAAATGATTCTAAATGTTGCAAAATACATAATAGGCTCCCTTTTAGTAAGTCTAGATAAACCACGATTGTATTTTGCGTAAATAATATACAAGTACTCATTACTTGCACAGCATACAACCAGTGACTTTATCTACCTTTGAGAAAACGGGAAAGGATTTGTTCATCGATATGATGCTTGGGCCAAATGTAAATTAAGCCTTGCCTAAAAAGAGATTTTACGTTAGCTATTTTCTGGTCTGAAATCCTTAAAGTGCGCTCAGTGATAGGCGATAGCCCAAACGGGTACATCGAACTTATAATTATGCAAGCCAAAAATCCCGCAAACGTTCGTGACATGTAAAGCATCCAAAAAGAGAGGCTGACATCGACGGCATAAAATTATACTTCTGCAGTCCATAATATCTCGGCCAGTAAAAGTACATGTAATATTGCGTAACCTGAAATTCTGAAATGCCGAAACAGGAAAAATTCGAAACACTAATATGTCAAATTTTGATTACGAGGAGGCTGTATGAAATCCCATGGCCTCTGAATAGGAAGGCGGCATCTGTATGGAATAGGATGGCGGTAATGAATAGGTAGGTGAGAGCTGATTCCGCCTCTCGTGTGCACGGCCGGCGGCACTGGAGGTCAATAAGGGCACTTGTGCTGATTGCAGCTCGGCACGCACTCTATGATTCGTCACCTCTACCGCATGCCCGACACCTGGATAAGGCGGAGGCAGGAGACTACCCACTGTGATGTGGAGTGGTTCGTGCCGCAATGTAACACGAGCAGCACGCGCTGTCGCCACTGCTGCCGCCGGCCGGTGTGCCGGTGCTGCTGTTGTAGTGGTCGTTGTAGTGCCTGAAGTGCGGCAATTCCGAGGTGTGTAGTACTGGCGAAGGGCTTTGCGCACGGCACTAATAATCATGCAGTCCAGAAAGCTCAACAACAATCCAAAGGCCAGGCAGGACATTCCCGGCTCCCAGGAGATCATGATCCCGGTGTCTTGTGGAGGATCGGAGATGTCTTTGAATACGCCGTGTACCGACATGGCGATGGTCAAGGCTACCTGGAAAACACGTATTTTCTTCAGTGAGTACATACCACATACACAAAGATTAGCACATACACAAAGATGAATAAAAGATCTTCTGTTGTTTGAACTTGTTTCTAAAACTTCGATAGTACACGATGTTAAGTGATCGCTTTGTGTCGTATACGCACCTAGCTGGTTTTATCACGAAAAGTATTATGTGAAAAAAATAGAAGAATATTACAGTATTATGTGAAAATGAAATTTTATGAACAATTTCGTAAGGATATACTCTAATGGCTACGCATGCTAATATTATGGTGTATATAATTTTGTACGCGAAACGATTATTATCAATTCTTGTGTAGCTGATCAATTTTTGCTGCTTTTAAGCTATTGCAGTCAGCATAGGCACACCGCTCGTGTAAAAACGGGGAAGCCACTGTATCTACGTTTTAAAAATTTACTGTTTGCGCAAATTGATTGTACGGATACAAGCAGTCTGTGTCAGTGCGGCCCCATTCACTGCATATCATGCATGCTCAAGATTACTGTACTATTATTTTATTATCAGCTTTACCCATGTCTGCACAAGAAACGTGACTATAAACTGAGAGCGCTTCAATTAGAATAATCCGCAATCTGTCCAAAAAATCTGCATCTCGTGCATGATCGTTACAGCTGGTTTCTATATGCAGACAAATCCCGGATTCGAGATTTATCTGCATATTCATTTCACAGTATGTTTCCCGATCCTACTCGAGTAAGTCTCGCGCATTTCCTGAGCCGACTGTGAAAAACAAGTTAAGCAGCTCACACCCCAGACCGTCTGCTGAATGACCTGTCAATCACAACCTATACATTACACAACCTCCTGCCCCGGCCTTGATATGTATGCTCGCATTCGGGATTCCCTTAAAAGCAATAAAACCGATCACTACCCGGGAGTGTCATTAAAATCTAGGCGTGGTGATGGTGTAGATCTTTGATGGACTTTTATCGACCGCATATATACACGGCCCCCGTACAGACGATCATACAACAAAAACGATCCGTTCGCCAGTCGGTTCTTATCTGCTACCGGTGGGCCCGGGATAAAATGCATATTCCGGTGCCGCTGGGCGGAAATCTTGCGCCTTGTGCACTATACAGGGAATATTTTGCAAAAACTGCGCGGTAAAGTAGAGACTATACGGTACGAGTACATTCAGATGTACAGTAATAATTGCTGATCACGCTGCTGCACACACACAAACACCGGTGCACAGCGTATAACCTTACCCCAATTAACAATAATCCAATGTACACTCGCAAACAAATAATAAACGATTTCCGATAGGGACGATTATGATATTCCAGGGATCGATGATCGACACTGCTTGTCACGTAGCACGAAGCGCACAGTCCCGTGATGCCGGTAAACATCAGCCAGGCACAAGCCACGGTGGCCGTTGGTAGGACATCTGTGTGTGTAGAAGAAAACATTTTATGTAAAAGGGGAATATTATCATTTCCGCTGCACTGTTCACAACGGGTGTTGCCGCCTACATGGGCCCGTTGCATCTTTACACCTTAACAATTCTGCGCGCCTTTGTTCTGTTCCCAGAAGATCGATATGTATTTCTCAAATTACCGTACGTGCTGGCAGAAATATTTTCCTATTGACAAAAATTGTCTTTCCGTGTACTACACGGTAGCACTGCGTCTCACTGCATATCAATGAAGCGAACTTTACGAAAACATGTACATGTACCCTGTGTATATGTCTAATTGCGAATTAATTTGGGCACCTTGGTGTTCGTTCACTTGACGACTTTTCTGGTTTTGTACGAGCGACAAGAGTGAAAATGCATGGTGTGCGGAATACAGATGTCTGCTAAATATGACGTATGGGAAAAATATACTTTGGGAAAATATTCGAAATATGAATATATTATATATTCATGTATATGCAACATTATAAATCCACATAACGGTGACCTCACAATTTCAAGCGTATCTTACGTTCCAGCTGCATTTTAAGTGTGATGAGCACCGATACGCCGAGCACCAGTTGTGCCAGACCGGAGAAGAGGAGGACTTGCTGGGGCCGCTGCTGTTCGTCGTTCTCATGACGCGGACTACAGCGGGGAAAGGCAATGGCTTCCGGGACTTGCAGTTGGCGAACTTGTAATTCCCGACGGAAACTGAGAATTGCGACGGCCATGCGTGGCACGGACACTTGCTGAGGTGGAGACAATTAGTGGGGCCTGAAAACATATAACGGCCATGAACATCCCCGCAAGTGCATCCCGCAACGCCGGCTCTATATTGATTGCAATTGCATGCTGCCACGCATCGTTTCGGACAGATCAAACGCTACAGCGATACCAATAGGCAGTATATCGATACGCTCATTTGCTCATCCAGCTAGGGATGAACATTTTCTTGACAATGCGTAAAAAATATGGGTACTCCCGTGTGTATTTAAAAAGGCAGGGTGCAGTCGGCGTACCGGAAATACGATGCAGAAAAGCGCTTAATTAAATTAGCAGCTGTGCTTTCGGCGTTGTCAGCATCAAATCAATTGCTGCAGAGCAATACGATTCTAATGCACACCAGTGTCGCACAATTACAGAACACTGGCACGTGTAATACTCATATGCAAAATTGCATGCATAGGAAATACACCAATCTGGAAATGTGTATATAAACCATTTATGATTACATCTTCCCGAACCAAGCGTAAAAGCAAATTTTAGGACAAGTGATGCCGGTAATCTAGATCTGTTACTTTTGGCAAACATTGTTAATATACAATTTTTAATAATTTTACAAACAATACTGATAACAGATTACTGGCACGGTTTATATGCATTTCGTAATAGAAAATAATAGACATCCACGATCCTGATGGTGAGGTGTGTGAAGTATCGGTTGCCCAAATTTTACAGTCTATATGGTATTTCTCTCTTTTCCAGCAGGAATAACATCAATGCAAAAAATAACAAACTTGAGAATTCATGCAGTGCAATGAGCAATCATACTCAGCATGCAGTTTATGTCTCTGCATGTACAAATTTGTACAAGAATTTCCACGCACATAAATTTTGTTTTAATTACTGTACGTGCATCCTTGACCGTCAAATTAAAATTTACTTTGAATTAATTCCACTGCACTAAATGTTGTAAATCTTACCAAAATAACAAGTCGGTCGATTCAGCCGAAGATTTGATCACACAAATCCCTCTGCAGCAAAATACAGTTTGGTAGAATCCTGGTCGACAGCATGCAAGTTGTTGACCGGGATATAAGTAAACCCGGTGAAAATATGTTATATCGCCGGCATAAGTGATTACTCCGATTTACAACATCTCCATATACGTCCAGCTGGTAAAACCAGAGAATTGGCAAACAATCCCAACTGACAGCTGAGAGAACAGCTCCATACTGAGCTGGGTGTTCACGGGGAATGAGGACAACATCTTGCGCGAAACACTGCCGGTCTTTTTAGCCGGATATACTCACACAGTCGATCGGTATAACGGAACTGCGGAGCTTGGAAAAAGTGTACTGTATCACTGTACAAGCGATTGAGGCTACACGGAAGTATCTTCCTGCTTTCTGCGTCCCTTCCGGGCTTCTTTCAGTTCCCGCGCAATGATTCACGGATTCCCTTGTGGCAAAGTTTTTGTACATCTAATATACGAAGACGATTGTCGGAAGACATGTGATACGAAGGGTCATGCGTCGCTGACGCGCTAAATTGCATACTGCACGACATTATACTCTGTATATGATGTGCTGGAGTATAAACAACACCACAAATCAGTTAACATGCGAGTGTATGCATTTATATAAACAATTATAATAATAATATTACCAGGCCCGGTTTGCATGCCATTGCCCACCAGGCCGTGAACAGATAATAGAATAAATGACATAGCGTTTGTTAACTGGGCCGAATAATTTCCGTTTTCGATGTTTCGTTTATTATGCCAATGTTAACCAAATTTCTGTAGCGCAAATTTAAAGTGTATAATCGGTGTAGAGTGTGCAATCTTGGACTGTAACGCAACAGTTTATTGTCGAGCATTACTCTTTACTTTTTTTAGCCTAAAAAACGGGAAGTTTGGATTGCCCATTAGCCATACAGTATATATATATATATATATATATATATATATATATATATATATATATATATATATATATATATATATATATATATATATATATATATATATATATATATATATATATATATATATATATATATATATATATATATATATATATATATATATATATATATATATATATATATATATATATATATATATATGTATATATATATATATGTATATATATATATATATTTATGGATATGTGTACATATTGACCAAAGTTGAACATCTTTTCTTATATCCTAGATTTTTTTTACGCTTCCATGTTCAAAAAACAGCTTTTGAATTAAGCACTTACCAACTGCTTAATAATTTTTGCGTATTTGTTTGTACTTAGCTGCGTAAAAGTTTTTACATTAATTTGGTATAAATCTCATATGCATGGTATGAACGTTTGCTGGATCTTTAGCTTACATAAGTTGGATATGCCCATCTGGGATAACACCGAGCGCACTTTTAAAATTTAAGACTAGAAAATATGTAAAACCTCATTATAGGCACGGCTTTCGCAAGAATAATCTATATAGATGATATATTCTTTCATGTTTTCTCAGAGGTACTGTTCATAAGGGACATTATTTGTACGCAAGTACACTGAGCACTTGTATATTATTTACGCGAAATACAATCTTACAATTAGTTTATCTACTTACTAGAAATTAGCCTATTATGTATTATCTTGCTATTCTTGCAACCTCTGGTATTATTTCTTATTGCGTGCCCGATCAAATTCGTATAGTTTTGGGAGCAGAATATCTACACTAGATGATGTTGCAAAATGTTTCGTAACCCGGTAAGGTAAACACTGCGAATGGCCGCACAGGCACAAAGACCGTTGACGGCCAGAAGCGCGTAGGCGTAACATTAAATATTCAAAGCCAATTAAAGTCTTATTGGTCTTTCCCGTACACAGTGACCACTCCAAATTCTCGAGTCGAGCATGTACGTTAACCCTTCCGTCAGAAGCATGATTAAGAACAGGTTTGGTTTTGGCTGGATGGGGCATCAACGGGCAAACAATAGCGACAATTTCCGGTAAACTCGTGCAATCTGTACGCAGTACGCACTGCTACTGGAGTTACCGGTGACATGCGCCTTTGTAGTTATCTCTTGACCCTGCTTCAGTGATTCCATGTGATGTTTTTGCTAGAAAACCAAACGCGACTATCCTTCTCGGCACTGGCTATATAAGAAAACGATTAAACATTTGCCAGCGAAAAGACTCAAAACGCGGTGGCTCCGATAAATATTCCATATTTCCATTTTTAGTCTTTTCCCGGGCGCAGATAGTCGTCTGTAACACTTTTGGGTTCAACTTAAAGAAACTTGCTGCTGGAACATTATGAGGGTTTTGGCATTTTTAATTGTTACTTCGGTTCTGCTTAGTGTCATTAACGCCACGTTGTACCTCAATCCTAGCGGTAAGCTGAGAAAATAACAGTGAGTACAGGTAGTACTGGTATTACGGATGACGTTTTTATATCATAATGTTTATTGGACTTATACATAATTACCTGTGCTCGTATAGACTGATGCTATAATTAATTTCATAATGCAGTACTTTGTCAATTTTATGGTTACCCAAGTACTTTGTAGGATTATTTATATATTGATACTTAATCTGTATGATACCAGGCAATCTTCGGCCTCGGCTTCCAAAATTAACGGAGAATTTTAAAAAAATTAGAATTAGAATTTGGAATTAGAAAAAGGAGATTCGATTTCCAAATACTAAAGTTAAGCTAACATAGGCCACGGGCAACATGCAAACACATCCTTGGTAAAACTACGAAATTACCATGCACTACTTCTTATGTGCCACTCTTTCAGATACTTCTATGCAAAATATTATTGTACACTGTACAATAAACGTTTTTTCGTTACTTGAATTTATGTGTGCCTCTTACACGCAGAATTTCAAGTCCAAAAATTATACCGAAGCTATTTACGAAAACATTTGCAGCTGACCATTTGATTTCACAAATCGGCAAAGTTTGCGGATTGTTTGATATACTTTAGTTTTCTCTTTCTAAATATTCAGCAAAATGCCATTACGAGAGCCGAAATCACGTTTTGATTCTTAATCCTTATTTATTCATACTTCATTGGAAGTGCCGTATAATCGTAGTTGTAATACAGTTTCAAAATCCGCAAAAAAACTAAATCGTTTGCCTCTTACGGTCAATGTAAATTTCTGTAGTTCAAATCGTGGTAATATGCTAAGACCTGAACAGCGGAGCTCGCTCGATTGTTGTCTTCAGACTACAAACGGCTTCTGCGTGGCCTGGCTCCAACATGCAACCGCCATCCATGTGGACCCGGTGGCAACAATCCGTGTCCAGGACCATGCCGGTGCTCGAACAACGGCGAACCGAGACACCGGGGTTTCTGCATATTCACGGCCGCCGGTGATTATACAGGGCCTTAAACCAACTGCGTACATGCCTCCATGTTAGGGAAAGTACAACAATGCGCATTCGAAAGCACTCTTCGGGAACGCTTCGATGGACATTATAAATCGGAACGGCTGCATCAAGCGGAACACTCCAACAAAATAGCAACAAAAGATATTACACTTCTAAATAGCTAGAATCACGTGCTCTGCTTGCAGGTGTACATTTGCAGATTTGCAGTTTAAAAAATTTTGGCATGACGCTAATTTTAATTCTTTAATGATACCATTGTTTGCCAGTTACCTGTGACCGGCGTTTAAGGCCTGAGTTGATCGAATTCAGAACTTCATGTTGGTGGACGGTGGTTGATTAATTATATACTGGTCAAATAAGCCGAAAGCTAAACATTTCTCTTATGTGGTATATAAGCTCACATAACCGTATGAAACTGGACTGAAACAACATTTTTTTAGCCTGATTTGCTCAGCGATTTCCATGAGTTAGTCGCTCTTTAAGCAAGTAGCGGTCCCGCTGAATTGGCGGGGCTGTGCTGATTAATGGAGTCAATCTCGCTCCGTGAATTGCCTGCATTCGCTTCTGGTTACGAAACAAAATCGCAACCAAAACTCGCCGTAAAAATCAACGGAGTAGTGGACTGGGTTCCCATCTTTGGGAATATGTTTTATCATTTTATAGCCGAATGATTTGTATACGTTGTTTTGAAAAGTGTTTTGTGCCGGCATCCATTTGCGGAGATATTACGACTTAAAGTGGACAAAAAGTTTAAACGCATTGTCGCGTACCAAAGTCCGATTTTTACCGATCTTCTTAAAAGTTTCTGTAATAATACACAATATGACCATGAGTCACATCTGAGCAAGTGGCGCGCGGTTTCGATCATAGCATTTTGTCCAGTTTTAAATCAATTTCAAAGATTATAAAATTCATTTTAAAATTTTAATAAAACGCTAGGCTCTTTACATTGGTGGAGGTTCGCGCTAGCCATATAACGACGCGTGTTTTACAGCAAAGTTTCAAAAAATTGAGAAAAAACTTAACTTTTGGTACGCTCCGGCCAATATGTACAAATTCCGCGGTTATAGATCTAGAATGACATAATTCGCGATACAAAAAGGTTTGAAGTGTGCGATCGAAATCTAAAGTTCATGTGTACGAAACTAGTGCCATGTACCAGGTCATTTGCTTAACACTGTGTATTTTGCTCAGGTAAGCTGTATGGGTTAAATTTTCTTTCGAAGTTTGTGCCTTTTAGTAAGGCAAATAAGAACATGTCTAAAGGTTTTAGAAGATTGTTCATATCATGCTAGAACACTAAACGGTAAAGGGTTCACACTCCAATGTGGCCGTTTTGACGGAAAAATAAAACAAATTCACGATCCCTAAGTATCTAATATTAGCAGTACAATCACCTTTACGTTTATCTGCTATTCTCCACAAAGCAGGCCGACACGAAGGCGTTTGCCCCACCCATCTATAATTATGTCTGTTTTTAAGTTATAACACTACAAGGCCACTCAATCCAGTAACCTTAACGAGAAGTATATGCAAATTCGAATTTATTTAGGCCAGCTGTTAAAATAAGGGTACATACTTCGCAAAATTAAAGTGTAACAGTTGGCAAAATTAAGCATTGCAGTGATACACTAGGAAATGGTCAAAGGGAACAAGCGTACTACTATACGCATGGTTTCTGTGTCTTGGGGATAACTTCAACGGCGTCCAATTAACGCCAGATTGAGTTCTTCCGGGACTAAACCATCCGGGACTACAGATGCGGATGCTGTCACCATCGAAAGTTGAACTTGATATCACATGGATTTATCCGAAATCGAATTTCGAAAATAGTAAGTTCAGACCTTATTACTCACACAATAAATTTCCATCACGTTTTGAAATATGTTAGTTTTTCGTACGTGTTTATGCTGCGATGGCGGGTGACGTTACGACGTTAACGTCGTAACG